AGCAAAGGCTACTGGTTCCGAGCTTGCCGTACAAGGAAGGTGTCAGCAGCCACTAGCTTCTGCGTTGGGCAGGGACTCGAGGTGGGAGCGCTTTGTAGGGCCACAAACGGAAGGCCCCAGGTGTGCCCCGATGGGAGGTTGTCTGCATGGGGAAGCCCTAGGGGGCTACCTAGAATGCGGGGGTCCTATGTGCTTGGTTAGGGGTGCTATTTGGTTTTCTCTCCTTGGCCCGCGGGCGGAGGCAGGGAGAGCATCAGGGAAGTGGTCAGACATGATCAAGTCTGGGCCTCCTGGGGCCGGTTGCTACAGAGCTTATTATTTGGCCTCCGGATGCATTGTTGGAGATAGTGGTCAGACTTCCTCCAAGTCGGACTGACAGGCGACAGGTCCACTTCCTGGGCTGGTTCCTGCAGATAATGGGTCAGAGGTCTATTTGTATAGAGGGCCTGGCCATCGTCGGCCTGTCTGTTCAGTCTCTCACCAACAACCTGTGAGTGTCATCTCAGTGCTGCGGGCAAGCAACCTGGGCATCGAGAAGGTGAGCTGACTCAGCTAGGTCACAGAGTCGGTGTGTTCCAGACGCTGGCAGCACCGCGCTGGATTTAGGCACAGACCTCTCCTGTCAGTCTCCCTGAGGCGAGGTTCCGGCTGCCTTGCCTCCGGCTCCTTCCTACGCTAGTACTTTGAGCGTGTTCTCCATGAATATGTGTTACATGAATGAATACAAATTGTTATGATGTCTGTGAGGTACCAGGGAGAAATGCAGAAACACAATGTAGGGTCCCGGCTGACGGGGCAGCCGCAGTCAGGACCGCCAAGCCCTCGGCTCTCTCCTCTCCATCATCCTGCCATCGTCTCTGTGCTCCTTGCTTGGAACCTGAAACCACAGACCGAGACCATTTGGGCCAGTTGGGCCGAGAGGGAACCAACTCCCAGCAGGCAAGAGCAGTGAACTCGAGCGCCTGTCCGCCCCACTGTCCACTCCACTGTTATAATCGATGTATTGGGGATTCGAGTCGGGCCTCACTGAGTGACGCGGGCAGCCAATGGTACAGGAGGACACTTCCTCCCAGGAGTTGGCTTAGGGCACAGCCAGGTGGGGGTACAGGAGTCTCAGGCCCTGTGGAAGGCAAGACCCTAAGATGGCCCCGTGATCTCCGTTCTTGTCCTCATGAGTGACTCTGTGATGATATGACATTCCGCCGTAAAAGGGATTTTCAATGTAGGGAGAAGTGCACTTGTCCTGGCCCCGTGGCCCTGGGCCTCTGAAGGCCCAGTTTCTGTATCTGTGAAGTAAGGCGCTGGCCCAGGTAATATAACACTACCTATTGTGATCCGCATTCTTTCGAGGCCAGGATTAAGGCCGGCTCCCCTGGGCTCTGCTGGTCAGATGGGTTTAGGCGGCTCCTCGGTCTGTGGAAAGGAAGAAGCAGAAGAAATGATTTCTGAATGTGGGCGCTGTGGAGGTGGGGCCCCGCTCCCCATCCAGCTTCAGTTCTTCTCTGACCTCGAGCGGAAAGGTCACACCTATGAAAAGAAAAGATTTCAAGTGAGCAACAGGTGTGGCTGTTGGTTTTTCCAAGGGCTTGGTTCTGCTTCCTGATGAGTGACCACCTCCTGGGGCCACAAAGGAGGGGTGTGGTCACAATCCCTTGGAGACCATGCCATCGCCCTGCTCACTTCACACAAAGTCCTGCCTTGGGAGTCTGAGCCTCGCCAGCGGGTGGCTGGCCCATCTCTACCCCTAGTCAGGGTCCTTGTGACTCGTGCAGGGGAGGGGCGTGGGCGGGGACCTCCACAGGGACTTGAGACAGTTCAGTGGCTCTGCGTCCTTCAGCCTTCAGCCTGCTCTCTTCCTTCTCGCCATCAGAAAGATGTCCGGCAGAGGGCTTGGTCCTTGAAAAAAGTTAAGGGGAAAGGAAAGCGCCATGTGGGTTTGGGCAGACAGAGGAGAGAGAGAGAGAGAAAAAGCAGAAGTTAGAGGATTAGAAGAGAAAGGATTCCCAGGAGGAAGAAGAGCAGTGACCTGTTCAGGAGCCACCGGGGCTAAGAGGAGACGGGATAAGGAAATGCAAAAGAAACGGGACCCGTAAGACTCACCTCTCCTTCGGGAGAGCTGCTGGGTGCCAAATCAGATTTGGCAAAAGGCACCCTTAGTTTTCATTATAGACTCAATTGTGGATTATTGGTGCTTACGGGAGGGGGAAGCCTTGGTCCGCTGGCCTCCGTCTCCTCTCCAGGATCCCAGCAGCGGGTTCTCCCTACCCCGCCCCACTGCCTCCATCCCCCAAGCTTGTCCTGACCCTGTCACTTACGAGCCGTCCAGGGGGCACCCACTGCCCCAGGAGGAAGTCCCAACCCCTCCACACGGCAGACCTCGGGGACTTGACTCCCAGTCTCTCAGCTCCGGCTGGCCCCACGTCACCTCCCACCTGTGCTCCGGCCACGCCGTGGGGCTGAGCATCGGACTCCCAGCACCTTCTCAGCGCACGATGACTACGTTTTTATCTATGCCCTTGGCAAATACGTTCTGGGCGCATGAATGCAGACAAGCATTGTGGCCAATCGGACACTCTCAGCTTTGAAATTCTGAGTATGGCGGCCATCATGTCCTTACACACCAACCAGGCTCTTGCTGCGCTGGTCCTGCCCAGTGGCTCTGCAGTCTGAGTCCGGGCTGGCTGGCCCTTTACCACCCACACCCACTGTTGCCGGCAGAGAACCCTGCAGAGCCACTGGCTGCCTTCCACGGGGTCCCAGAGGAAGGAGAGGACAAAAGTCCAGCAGATGACTTCGCGAGGGAGCCTGGGCTTAAGCTGTTTGACTAGTAAGAGAGGCGCCCTCTCCCAGTTCTCCAGATCCTGAAATAAGCCAACAGGAGGGGAGACTGAGGTGGAGTCTGAGGTGGGGCCAGCTCTGGGGGGAGGCGGGGGAACTGCACAAAGGGTCGTTTTGCTGTGGGGCCCAGGGGAGAGGCCTACAGCTAAGAAAACATTTTCAGTGGTTTCTGCTGCAGGCACCTGCATTCCTGAGTAACTGAAGGTGGGGAGGGGGGAGGGGGCTCCCCACCTGGCTTACTACAAGGAGCGGGCATTGAAGAGAGTTAGAAACATGTGCAGGGAGCATGTCAAGGGCAGACCCTCAAGGAGGCCGGGAGCCAACAGACAGGCCCAGGCAGGGATGAGGGGGTGAGGTGTGGAGGCCAGGCCACGAGGCAGTTGCAGGAGGCCCCTGCTCTCCCCAGTGACAGGCCATCTGCAGGGGACAAACCAGGAGCTGCCTCTCTGGGCTGGCACCAACTGGGTGGCCAGGAGGTGGGCCAGGGGAGCCGCCAAGTCCTGAAGTCGCTGTGCCCAGGCCTGCCCTTCCCTAAGAAGGGGTGTGAGGGAGGGGTGAGGCAAGACGGTAGGGAGGCTGGAAGACTCTGGGGTTCCCTTTAGGGCGTGAGACCTGAGAGCAAGAGTGTGGGGTGTGGGGAGGGAAGGCTGCTCGTTGGTGGGTGAGCTCCAGGGCTGTAGTGCTCACTGGGCTCTGCATAGTGAGAGCTGCTCCTTGTGGAGGATTTGAGAGAAAGGAACTTCAGGGCAGGGAGTGGTGGATGGTGGAGGGGTACACTGCCTCTCTGTTCTTAGAGCTCCTGTGTATAATGCAAGAGCTGGGACCAGGCCAGTGGTCACCCCACCATGGCTGGGTGGACCAAGCAGGGCAGCTCTTTGGCCAGAAGACCGAAGTCTCTTTAAGTGCCAAAGGACACCACTCTGAGTCCCAGACACCAAGCCTCAGACCCCATGAAAGGCAGAATTCTAAGATGCCCCATGATCTCTGTCCCTGGGTGTCTTTCCTGTGATTGTTTTACATTATGTAGTAAAAGGGATTTGCAGTGGAATTCAACCTGCTAATCAGTTGACCTTCAAATAGAGTGTTTATGTGATTGGCCTGACCTAATCACACGAGCCCTTTGAAAGCAGTTTCTCTTGTGGCAGGAGGATTTGATGCACTGTCCCTGGCTTTGAGGATTGAGGCTGCATGGAGACTTGAGAGCAGCCTCCATGAACTGCGACACCCAGCCAACAGAAAATGGAGACCTCAGTCCTGCAATGGCAGGGAACTGGTTCTGCCGACAACCTCAATGAACTTGAGAGCAGAATCTTCCCATGAGCCTCCCATAAGAGCTTGGCCTGGCTAACACCTTGATTTTGGCCTTGAGACCCTAAGCAGGAACCCAGTCAAGCCCATTTCAGATTTCTGACCTACAAAACTGTGAGCTAATAAATGAGCGTGTTTAAGCCTCGAAGTTTGTTGCAATTTCTTACTCAGCAATAGAGAACTGATACAGGTGCCTGCATGATGAAGGTTCCACGTCATGCATGTAGACCCCAGATGAGAAGAAAAAGGCAGCACTCCGATTTCAGCCACGACCTGGGGGTTGCAGCCTCATCCTGCTCTCTGGTCCCTCCTTCATACGGAAGGATCCAAATCTTTGTCCACATGGCTTCCATCAGCGACTCAAGCGCCAATCATTGGGCTGGAAAATTTACAAATTGCAAGTGAGTAGCACAGCTTCTTAGTCCTAATTATCCAGGTTTCTTATACGTTTGCTTCTCTGCTAGCTTTCCCAGATTCCTGCCCAGTTCTGATGCTGTTGGATCTTTGAGTCTTTGGCAAAAGCAAAATCCTCTCCAGCAAGTTATCCTTCCAGGTAGTCCCTGAAAACTTAGAATGAATTGCTCTCTCTTGGTCCATGACCTAAATGCCTTGATAAAATCCTGTGGCAGAGATGGTTAGCTGTCCACCAAAATCCTTGTTCCCCTTTCAGAGTATAGAGGAGGTGTCACTAAGGAGCAGAGACTACATTTCCCAGCTGTCCTTGCAACTAGGGTGGTCATATGACTCGTTTCCACCAATAGAATGTGAGCAGAAGAGAGATCTGCCACTTCTGAGCCAAAGCAGTAAGAAGTGGGTGTGCTTCCCCCATAGTGAGCAGAAGAGAGATCTGCCACTTCTGAGCCAAAGTAGGTGTGCTTCCCCCATACTTCCTTTCCTCTTCTGCCAGCTGGATGATGACGAGACCCTGGAAAATGGCAGAGCCCTTAGATGCAAGGAGCCCGAGTCCCTGAATCACCACGTGGAAGAAAGCCACTGGCCAATCAAGAATACCTGCCTTGGTGTGTCACACGAGTAAGAAATAAATTTCTAAAGTATTTGAACCACTCTACATCTGGAGGTCTATTTGTCACTGCTTTTTAGCCTACCTTTTATAATACTTATTTATCTTCTTGGCCCTTAAACCGAATCGAGTCGCACAAGGTGCTGACTGAACCCCTGTGACGAAAGCCTCTAGACCTCCTTGTGTTCTACTTTCCTTGGCTGGCTCCCATCCCCGCCTTGCTTCACAGTGTCTGCTTGCTCCAAAGTCTGGCTGACTCAGCTGGCCTGGGCCCCCGTCCATCTGCTGTCAATGAGAGCCTGGCTCACAGAAAAATGCACATTTATTCCCCCAAAACATAGGGTTCTTTTTTTCAGCAAAGGTGGTGCAGCAATATATTTGGAGCAGGGAGCTGCTATTCGGCACATGGCTCCTGGTTACTTTGGGGCATAGCCAGGGAGAACATGTCTTTAGCCTCGGCTCTCTAAGCTAGAGCCTCCAGTGCAGGGGGGTAATGGAGGCGGGGCGCCGGGGGTGGGGAGGGGAACCAGAAGGAGGTGACAATTCTCTCGGAAAGCAATTAAGCATTTCTTGGTGGCCTCAGGGACAACCTCAACTTTTTGTACTTTCCCCCAGGGAGGCCAAGGCCTGGGGGAGGGGAGCACGTGAAGCTGCTGTTCTGGAAAACTTTGCTTTGCCATGTGGAGTTTTGCAGACTCTGAGCAGCTTCCAGAGGAAAGGCAGCCCTGCCCTGTCCTTGTCCAGGGATGCTCCCTCCGGCACCAGCAGCAGCTTAGGGAGCCCTGGAAGGACCACAGTGGGGTCAACATACAAGGGAACCCCTCCCCACCGTCCATCGCTGAAGCACAGCCCCAGACCCCAGCCCAGCAAAGAGGAGAGGCTAGACTGTGGACGGTGGTACAGCCTAGAATAGGCCTGACACTCCGCCGTAGCCCCTGGATGCCACGGCCCAGCTCCTCTGTGGGGTCAGCTGCTCCAGAGGTCATAAAATTACACAGCATCCCGAGCTGCTGCGAAGGGCTCCAGGATGACTCTGCCTCAGCAATTTCCAGTGCAAATTTGCTTTGGTTTGAGTCTGAAATAACGGTGGCAGACTCCCCAGGGCCCAGGAATCCAGCCACTGGCTCCTCTTGGCTTCTGTCCGTGAGCAAGATGCAGCCAGATCCATAGGGCAGCACTGAGGTTAAGTGACAACGACCCGACCTGGCTACCCTACTCAGAGAGGTCAGCAAGGGTCACCGGGCCTCTCCGTACCTCTCACTTGTTGTGCAAGCGGCCTGAATCCTCCGTGGGCAGCCAAGGGGGCATTTCTACTTCCAACTCCAGGTAACTCTTAGCACTTACCTTGAAGTGGTGATGAGCTGAGGGGCCAGGAACGGGCGCATTTCATGCAACATGCATTCGAGATTTCCAGTGAGAGTCTTACCCTAACTTTCAGCTCCCTTCACTGTGGTTCACTCCCTTCCCTGTCCAAAGCCCTTCCAAACAACCTGAATCCTTCCTCCTCTGCCCTCGGCCTGCTTCCTCTCAATCTGTCACTTGTAGTGACTTTGCTCACTAGTACCCTTCAAGCGTCCCCTCTCCGAATCTAGCTGACTCCTTTCCACGCTTAGTTTGCAAACATGTCTGACCCGATCCCTACTTGCAAGCCCCTATTTCTCCCAGGAGCACCAGAGAGCCCGGGTCCGACAGGTGTAGTGATCTAGTGTGCAGGGTGCTGGGCGCCCAGAGGAAACGCCAGAGACTAAGGTCTCCCCAGGACTGGCAGCTCGGATGGCTCCCCAGGCAGAAATAACCTGAACCTGCTGCCCTTTCCTTCTCAAGAGTGACTCAGCAAGAAGCTGGCAGATAGAAACACAAAGCTAGACCTGGATCTTGCAGAGGGGATAATGGGCAAGTTCATGGCCTTAGTCATGAGAGAGAAACAGGCTAACCATAGGGCTGGGTGCTGAAAAGATGCCCAACCTCACTTGGAATAAGAGAAGTCGAATGGAATCTGCCCCCAGACACCATTTTCCACCAAGCAGAGCGGCAGAGATCAAAGGCTTGACAGCTCCCTGCGTTGGCGAGGGCGGGGAAAGGCTCTCTCATGTTTTGTTTAGCAGCACTGTAAACCCACGTGGCCTTCGCCGAGGGCCATTTGGCAGTACCTACCAACGCCACACGCTCTCTGACCCGGCAGCTCCACTTCTAGAAATGCAACGTCCGGCGGTGCACACACGTTTGCGAAATGGCCCATTTGTGAAATGGCACTGTTCCTAAGAACAACGAGGAATCGGCGGTGCCCTCCACTTGGGACGCTTACGATACGGCCAGTGGCAGGAACGGAGAATTAGAACCAGCGATGTACAGCTACGGAAACATGTCCCATAGACAGTGCACAGTGGAAAAACCACAGCAAAGGGGGAGCGGAACAGCTGGACGGCCGGCTGTGTCTCCACGAATGAATGGACTGGCATGTTCCCGCTCGGGTAACATGGGGCAAAAGAAACAGTGCGTGGGCTCGTCCGGCTGTCCGTGCTGAAGGCTATCTCTGGATGGAGACCCAAGAAACTGGTTTCGTCGGTTCCAGAGGAGCAAGTATTTTTCATTGCGCGCTTTTTTGCAACTTCACAGTTGGAACTGGGCGAATATATTAGTTATTGAGAAAGAAAATACAGTTTGAAATAGGTGCCCTGGACCTTTGTCATGGAACGGAATGACGCCCGACGTGAGGGACCGGCAAGCTCCAAGACAGAACGAGTTGGAAGGGGGAGACCGTTCCGTCTGACGTTCGCGTGGCATGGCACATTTTACAGAGGGCTTCATTCGTGTCACCACATTCGGCCCTCAGAACGGACCCTGCTTTTCTTTCAGATGAAGACAGGGACGCTCAGAGAGGTGAAGTGATTTCTTGGACGTCACACAGCAAATGGTTGAACCAGGTTTTCTGGATCCCAGGTTTTCACATGCCTTTTGCTACCTCCCAGTGTGGCTGGAGAGTCCTGGAGGCTCAGGTCACTACCGTCCCCATTTTCACCTAGAACATGATCCAGGCTGTGGTGCACATTGGTTCGGGCACCAGCAGTGATGTCGGAGGCCGGTGTCAAATTTGGGGTCAGCCGCATCCTATCTAGGTGAATCTGGAGAAGTTGCTTATTGGGCCAACTCGGTCGCTTCACCTGTAAAGCAAGAACAATAATAGTACCCACTTCGAGGGTCCTCCTGAGAATTAAATGAGCTAAATGCCCAGAAAACAGGTGCCTAGAAGCACAAACAGGCCCGGCCTCCCGAAGCCTGAAGTCACCCTCTGAGGGGTCTGCTCTGAGAGCTGCCCCCTTCCCAGCAACCTTGCATAAATCCCAAAGAAAAGTGTTTCGCATTCACTCCAGTGACTGTCCTGCCTCATCGGCCCGCATTCTTTCTGACATTTTTTTCTCCTTATTCCATCTCCTTCTCTTATTCCTGCTCTGTCTTCCCTTCCTGCTTCTGCACTGGCTCCCAGCAGCCCGAATTGCAGACCTGAGATTCTGCATAGCCATCCAAGCCAGCCCGGTGGCCCTCGCAGGAGGAGCCCAGTTCTGCCTCTTCCCACTCCTATGCCCTGCTCAGCTAAAATATCCAAGATTCATTTTCTTTGGAAATTCCAATCAACCAGAAATCAACAAAGAAGGGAAAAAGACAAATAAATGGCAGTTTTCCTCTCTCCCCACTAAATAGGTTTGAACTAGCTTTCGGCTAGATGGCATTCTCTTTTTCTTAATAAAAGTTTATTTCTCTCTCATACGGTGACCTAGAGATGGGAGGTTGTGGCTGTCACGGTGGCTCTAGGTCAGCCGCGGCTGACTTTCTGCCGGGCTGTCTCTGGGCCTTTACGCAGTTTTATGGTTTTACAGACCACCGTGCCTTTTTGCAAACTTGAAAGGGGTCTCCTTCAAGCGAGTGCAAGTCTCGGTCAAATAGAAGGTAACTATTTTTTTGCACAAAAAAAAGGGTACTCACTCTAGACAGACAAATGAGGAAAAGACAGTCTATGACAAAGGAGGCAGCCCTATGGGCAGCGGGGTGAATGGCTAGGGGAACTGTATTTTGTATGGAAAAAAAAAAGGTATCCTTTCTTCTGCGTGAACAGAGCCCGCGGTTTGGTGGGTGGAGCGAGGAATTCACCACAGTGTCGGGAGATGGGAGGTCCAAGGCCAAGGCTCCCTTCTGATGAGAGGCCTCTTCCGGTTCAAAGCAGGTGCCTCTGGCTGGGGCCTCACATGGTGGAAGGGAGATATCATCCTTTAAAGAAAGAAAATATTGTCAAGAAGAACTCATTCAATTCCTAGTTGTCTCCCCTTCCTTGTCTGTACTTTATTTTTTAAAGTAACATACAGTAAAACTGACTTTTATCTTTTTTTTTTTTTTTTGGCATGGAGATTTGTATAATCCATGGCAAGACACAGAACAGTTCCACTGCCCTAAAACTCTCTCTCAAGCTTCCCTTTGGGGGGCCACACCCTTCCCACATCCCTGGCCCCTGCCTGGCAACCCCTGATGTGTTCATTACCACTGCAGTCTGTCTTGTTGAGAAGGACATAGGAACGGTTTTCTGTGGTATATACCCCTTTGACTGGCTTTTCTCACTCAGGATAAGGCCTTTGAGAGTCATTTCAATGGTTGCATGCATCGATAATTTGCTCCTTTCATACTGGGTAGCATTCCGTTGCATGAGTGTACCATATTCTGTTTGATCCATTCATTTGTTGAAATGCACTGGGGTTGTTTTGGGTGAGTGTGAATAGAGCTGCTATAAACATCTGTACACAGGCTTTCGTGTAAACAAAATGTTTCATTTTTATAGAGCAGTGGTTCTAACTGGAGGCAATTTTGCCCTCCAGGGGATGTTTGGCAATGTCTGGAGATATTTCTGATTGTCACGAGCAGGGGGTGCTACCAACATCTCATGGGCAGAGGCCAGGGATGCTAAATATCCTAAAATGCACAGGACAGGCCTCTCCAGGTCTGGCCCCAAATGCCAATAGTGCTGTGGTGGAGGAACCCGCTCTCCTGTTAAGTACCTCGAACTGAGCTTGTTGAGTCACGTGGTACATGTATGTTTAGCTATATGAAAAATTGCCACACTGTTTTCCAGAATGACTTCTCCATTCTGCATTCCCACCAACAATGTGTGAGAGCTCTCAGGGCCTCACAGCTCTGTCTCGAAGTTGTCCAGCTTTTCAACGTTAGCCATTATAATACCTCTGTAGAGGCGTCTCATTATGCCTTTAATTTGCATTTCCTTGGTGGCTAATGATGTTTAACATCTTTTCACGTGCTCATTTGCCGTCTGTGTATCCTCTTTGAGGGAGTGTCTTTTCAAGTCTTTTGCCCATCTTTTAATTGGATCGTTTTACGACTGTTGAGTTTCGAGAGCTCTTTACGTATTATAAATACACGTCTTTTGTGAAATATGTGATTTGTCTCTTCTCTCAATCTGTAGTTTGTCTTCTCGTTCTCTTAACATTATCTTTGGCAGAGCAAAAGTTTTTAATTTGGGTGCGGTCCTATTTGCCTTTCCGCCCCCCACCTATTATGCTTTTGGTGTCATGTCTGAGGACCCCAGTTCATGAAGATTTTCTCCTAAAACTTTTATAGTTTTACATTTATATCTACGATCCGTTTTGAGTCACTTTTTTTTTACAAGGTATAAAGTTTAGATTCCCTCCTTTTTTGCATATGAATGTCCAATTATTCCAGTCTCACGAGTTGAAAAGAGTTATCCTCGCCATTCAATTACGTTTGCCCCTTTGTCACAAATCAGTTGGGCCTATTCATGTGACTCATCTCTGGGTTCTCTGCTCTGTCCGATGTCATTGACCGATGGCTACCTTTTGCTAATATCACACTGTCTTGATTACTGTAGCTTTCTAATAAGTCTTTTTCAGAATTGGTTTGGCTCTTCCCATTCCTTCGCCTTTCCATATAAATTTTAGAGGCACGCTGTCTACATACAAGCTTCCTTTGCTTTGACAAGGCTGGAGTGTTTTCCAACACCACCGTGCAATTCTCCACTTCTCAGAGGACACCAAATGGGTGTCCTACAGATCTAACTCAATTCTGACACTATCTGCCTGAAGATAGCATCAGACCTCTCAGGTTAAGAGTTCGGCCCCACCAAACCACCCCCTCCCCGCTTCCCCAAGCCACCACTTCAGACACCTCCCCAGGCCACGGCCACTTCAGACACCAATCCTGTGCTTTTGCACGACAGGGTATAAATCAGAGCTTCTCACGACTCTCTCCTTGGGTTTGATTAATTGGCTAAAGCAGCTCACAGAACTCCGGAAAATCTTTGCTTACTAGACTACTGGTTTATTCCAAAGGATCTTACGGAAGATACAGAAGAACAGCTAGGTGAAGAGGTATGTAAATAAAGGCACAGAAGGGTCCCAAGCGCTGGAGCTTTGGTCCTGGTGGAACTGAGGTGTGCCATCCCCTTGGCCCATAGAGGCACCAACCTGGAAGCTCATCAAATCTTGGTGTTGTTCAAGAGTTTGTATACAGCCTGGTGGCCAGTGCCGCCTCATCAGTGGGTAGGGCTGAACGCTTGGTCTTTCCGGTGACCAACACTATTCAGAGGCCTTGTAGGGACCCCGCCCCAGGTCACCTTATTAGCATAAACTCGGGTGTGATCAGAAGGGCTTGTTACAAATAAGGAATGACATTCTCATCACTTAGGCGATTAGAAGGGTTTTAGGAGCTCTGTGCCTGATACAGGACAAAGACAAAGTGTATTTTTTCTTATACCACAAGGTATAGACTTATGATGCCGCAACTTTCTTTGTCGTAGGTAGGACTTTGACACTCAGACTAGACTTTGGGTAGGTTCTAAGGGAAGGAGAGATGCTGCTTTTACAGAAAGCTCAAAACAGCCATTCACCTGCTTCTTGGGTGAACAGATTGTATTTTGCCCAAGGAATGTGAAGAATGCAGATTTACTTTCTTTTATTCACAGAGTCGGTGTTTGTATGAAGAGTCACAGACTAAAGAATGCTCTCCACTAGCTCACAAGACCACGCTGTATTCATTCTATGACAGCAAAACGGTCACACTTCTGACTTATCCCGCAAGATAGAACATACCCGTTTAAAACGTGTTTTTCATCAGGCCAAATCACTTGCCAGAAATTTCGCGTACACCTTTTTCTATAGGTGGAGTGGGATTCATCTTGCCTTCTTCTGGGATCGTTGGGTCTGAATCCATCGCCTTCCAGTTCTCTGGTTTCCAGAACAGACGAGGCTGTGGCCCAATGCCAAAGCCAAGAGCAGAGCAGAAGTGGGAGTGGGTGCTGCTGGTTCTGCGGGTCCCTCCAGTACCCTCTCCCCACCGGCCTCCTTCCCAGGCCCGAAGCCCTCGCCGTTCTTCCACGGCCCCATTCCCAGCTCCTCTATCCTCACGGCTAGACTCGGGGCAAACAATTTGACATCCTCGGGCCGCATTTGGCTTGCCCATAAACTGGTGTCTATGCTGCTGAGCTGTGCATCTCATGGAATCATTGCAAGACTCACAGAAATGTCTGGAAAGCTACAGCCCACACTGGCTTCTCCAGGGAATGGGATGGGGGAAGTAGGAAAGAGGGGTATGGGGACATCTTCATCTTCAGAACTCCAATCTTGTTTTAAAATGTTTAAGAAGTGTGAATTCCTTTTGTGATTTTAAAAAAACGTCTATAATGCTCACAGTGAGTAAATGTGTTAACAAATAATGCATTTTGCCGTCTTCAAAAAGTTTCCAGCCCTGCTAAGCTGCAGGTTACTCTTCTGTGTGTGTATGTGGTGGGGGGGTCGGGGGGCGGTCACTTGGCCCATCGTGGACACTTTCAGTCTGAGGGAGCCAGTGAGATCAGCTAAGATGGGGACCTGGGTTCCAGGGCAGGTGGGAGAAAAGGCGGCTCCACGTTGGCTCTGAGCAGGGCTCTGCCCTCTTCCCTCTGAGCCCCCAGGTATGCGACATATGGTCCCCTCTGGCTTTCAGGCCAGACCAGCCAGCAGGCAGGAGCTACGGTGCCAAGGGGAGAGAGATGCTATAGAACGGAATGGAGTCAGCACAGAACGCATTTACAAAATCAATCCTTGGGGCAGCAGCCCGGACAGTGAGGGGGCTGGGCGTCCGAGGCCACTCTTCCAAGGAGCCAGCTTGCAGCCGGGGGTTCTGGGCTCAGCAGGCACTGAAGCCAGCCTGGGCGAACTGAATTCATTGTCCAAGGGAACAGCCGGGGGCTGGCACACCTTCACTGGGCAGCGAGGAGGAATGTGGCTATGTGCACTTGTGTTTGTTTATTCGCTGTTGGGAACCCCTTGCAAGGGTGTGGGCGCTAAAGTCTCCACGTGGCTGGAGTCTGCCCAGGACAAGCTGTCCCTCACTCACAGCCCCTCCTGGGTCTGGGAAAGTGGCCGGGGGAGCAGTTCATGGAGAACCCAGGATGCACCAGGAGCAAGGAAAGGGAACCCAGAAGAGACCACTTCTGTCCCTAAAAGGGGATGTCCCCATGGACTGGGGCAAAGGGACAGGAGGCAAGTGCTCAGGACATCTCCCTGGGAGGGAGGGAGAGGCAGGGGTGGCAGGGAGCCCAGGCCTCTCCAGCTAGTGGCATAAACCAGTCACTTTAATAGCTGAGCTCAAGTTACAGTGGCCTCTGGCCCCTCGGGGACACACCTCTGCCCCCAGGCCCTGCAAGTCATTTTGGGGTGGGAGGGGAATTCCTCAAGTACTGGATGGCCTAAGAGACTCGGGGGCCCTGGAGGCCCTCGGGGACAGAGGGAACCCGTGGTTCTCTGCTGGGGGCTGCAGCTGCTCAGTGGCCAATGAGACTCAGGGTGGGGGTGGAGGACACCCAGGCCCCTGGGTGAGCATCGCGTCAGACCTACTTGCTTTCGTCCTAAAGGAGCCCAGCCCGGCAGCTTGGCAGAGACGTGACCCCCACAGACTGTCTCTTACTCAAAACACAAATCCTTTCCCTTCTCTACCAGCCCACACAGAAGCCCGGACAGAAACCGCCTCGTGCAGAGAGCAGACTGAAAACAGCCCTAACTCGGGGTCGGCCGTCTCTGTAAAGGGCCAGAGAGCAAAGGTTTTTCACTTCCTGGCCGGTGGTGCCCATCACAACTACTCAACTCTGCCATCGTAGTGTGAAAGCGGCAGACAGCACGTCAACAAATGGGCATGGTCGCGTTCCAGTAAAATTTTACCGGAGAGCAGAATCGTTCCGCGGAGCATCGTTTGCGGACCCCTGCCAGGGCAGGTGCGAGCAGCTGGTAGGACAGGCCATCCTCCCTGACCTCCTCTGGACCTGCAGGAGCCATCCCAGGTTCCCCAGGCCTGGCCGGCCACCACTGCAGAGAGGAGAGTTTGCGTGGAGGAAGAGGAAGCAGGTGTTTGCTGAGCTGAACACCCCCCTCCACTCCCGTAAGTCACTCCGCCTTTGCCCAATGTAATTAAACCCCAACAGATACCTCCCAGGTGACCATGTTTGTGGCCATTTAGAGATGAACAAGGAATGATCCCTCTTAGCGGGTATGTGAGTCTAGAGAACAGGCCGGAAGCCTGGGGACGGGCCATGGGGCCCCCAGCGGGGCATAGGAGCAGAGATATTTTTATTCCTGCTCATGTCACCTAGAGCTTAGGATCCGGCTACAGCGAGAAAAACCAGGCTCAAGTCTCAGATCTGCTGTCACGAACTGAATGACCTTGGGCGAGTTCCTTAATCTCTCTGAGCTTTAATTTCCTTGTTATACAAAATGGAGATAAAAATAGTACTTGGTTCCTGGAGCCCCAAGGTTTAGATCAGGGGAAGCATTTAATGCAACAGCTAATATAAACCTGGCCATGCCTGTGACTGTCGGCTTAGTCACTGGGCACCTTCCTTGGGTCAGACCCATGCTGGAAATCAGATCTCATTTAATCATTTAATACTCGCAACAACCCTGTGAGGCAGGTCTTATTATCCCCATGTTACAGGTAGGAAAGCCCAGGCTCAGAGAAACAACGCCTTGCCCCAGGGCACACAGATCTGCTCTCGTTGCAAGGAGACCGAGAGAAATGGACAGGAGTGGACGAGGAAGCTTGGGGACCTACACAGACAAAAGCGCAAAGGTGCAGCCCAGCTGGAATCACTAACTGCGTTTCCACTTTTCAGAGAGGAAGAAGGCAGTCGCCTGAGCCACCATGCGCTCAGCCAGGGGCCTGTCTCATGTACACCTGCCGGCTTTCCCCGAAAACGCTGAGCATCCTGGGTGGAAAGATTCTCTGGGCGTGGCTGGGTGAATGTCCCATGCTGCCATGTGCCGGGTGAAACGGTCTCTCGAAGAGAGATGTGACTTGATTGGGAAATAGGGTCTTTAGAGGTATAATTCAGGTCCGGATTGAGATGAGATCACCCTGGATTAAGATGGGCCCTAAATAAATGACAGCGCTGCCCGAAGAACCAGCAAAGGGGACAAGGTGACTTAGAGAAGAAGGCCGTGTGGAACTGGGGGCAGCGGCTGGAGTGGTGACTCTATCGGCCAAGGGCTGTAGACGCCAGCAGCTGGAGACGAGCCTGGAATGGACTCTCCCCCTGGGCCCTCGGAAGAAACCGACGCAGCCGACACCTTGATCTCGGACTTCTGGCCTCCAGAACCGGGAGACAATAAATCTCGGTTGTTTGAAGACACCAGTTTGTGACGACTGGTTACGGCAGCCGCAGGAAATTCGTACAGCACATGTGAACTTTCGAGGGTGGTTCCCGCTGACCCTGGAGCCCAGCACACTTCGAGGGCCTCCAGGAGTGTCCGAGGGAGGGGACAGGGAAAGGACACAGGAAGGGAAGATCAGCTGGTGGGTCAGGGTCGCTGGGAAAGCAAGGCAGTGGGGGGCACCTTTCAAGGGAGCTGCTGCTGGAAGCGAGGAACTGGGGGGCCGACCAAACGAGGCTCTGTCTCCTTTACGCCTGAGAACTGCAACTAAATGGGCCGGTGACAAGCTTGTTATTAAAGGGAGCCACCCAAGTCATCGAGGGGACCGTTTCGTCGGCTGCCCTCCCGCCTCAGATCCGGCCTTGTGCCTGCACAGCTGTCTAGCGGCCACCACTCCCACAAAGCCATCCGGCCGCTTGGTCAGAGCCGTGGTCAGGATGTGCGAGGGAGGCCAGGCTGGACGGTGGCCACGTACAGGCCTCTATGTCGTGACCCTGACCTTGGAGCCTTGGGATTGTGCCAGGCCCCGTTCCCATTGCTCAGGGCGAGCCAGCAGCAGCGCCTGGGTGATGAGGGAGGGGACTAAGGCTGCCCGTGGCTTTTCTGTTGAGGGGTTTCTTCCTGTCCCCACACTTCTGCCAAAGCCAGGCCCTCCCACCCCATGTTGTCATAGCAACAGCCCTTCTAAGCTGGGCAGCTCAGGAGCCTGAGAAGTGGGACCTGTCCCTTGTTCTGGGTGGTAGCTTGCCTCCAAAGGCGGTGGCCATCAGTTCTTGCCTTCCCTGTGCGTACACGCCCCTGCCCCATCCAGAGGCAGAGTCCATCCCTCCACCCCCTTGCATCCAGGCTGCCTTGCAGCTCTTTGACCAACAGAGTGTGGCTGAAATGATGCTGAGCCAGATCTGCTCCCGGCCCTTGAGAGGACTGGCCGTTTCTACCTGCTCTTGGAGCCCTGAGCTGCCATCTCGGACAGCCATCCCAGTCAGGTGACCACAGCCCCAGCTGCTCTCTGATGGCACCTGTCTAGACGCCCCGCCCCCAGCGCTGAGAGGAACTGGCCAACTCAGCCCTGTCAAGAGATAAAAATGCATTCGCGTGTTAAGCATTGAATTTGGGAGTAGTTTGTTTACACAGCCTTCAGTGACAGGAATGCTCTGAAAGATTCACCCCTTCATTTCCTCCCCAGTCTTACTCACTGGCTACTTTGGGGCAGGAAGGACCCCCCCAAAGTTCCAAAGTCCACAATCCCTCATTGATGATTTACCCAATAGTCTCCTTGGTAACGGGTCCTGGTTACGGGGCAGAGTTGTTGGGAGGTGCTGCTCCTCCTGCGTCTGGTAGGAAACCTTTAAATTAAAATCAACACGTATCTGTAAAGCAGCTGGGATGTTGGCGGCACTCTGGGCAACTCAGAGAGACACACAATGCCTTTTATTTGAAGAGTATTAACCAAGCACTCCAACCTATCGAAACTCCTTTCACCTGTGACAACCATTAAAGGCAGATGGGCAGGCACGGTGCCTTGCGTTATAGAACAGTAAACTACATAAGACCACACTGATAGAAGAGGCAGAGCCAGAGCTGGAAGCCAGGTCACCTGGCTACCTGTCCACTGGCCTCCCTCATACTGCCCCCTATCATCCCCAAACCATCCTGGGTAGCAGTTTGGGGCAGGGTCAGGCCCGTTTTCCCAGGTAGAAGGAACAGAGAATTGGGGAGGAGAAACTGACCACGGGCGGTATGTGTCATAATTATGGGCTCTGAAGTCACCTTCCTAGGTTTAGGTGTGGCTCTGCCCTTAGTTGTAATAACTTGGCAGTTACTTACTTTGCTGAGCCCGAGTCTGCATCTGCAGAGGGCGTCACCACTGCAGAGAATCATTGTGCCTCCAGGGGGAGGGGCGGGTTTTTGTGGTTGCCTTGAATGATAGAGCGCGGTGGAGGTGACCCTCGGTAATTCAGGAAGCTAGATCACAAAATGCAAGCTCTCTTGTCTTGCTCTCCATGAAGGGGTCTGATCCCCCCGTCCCCCCTCCCCCGCTGCCATGCTGTGAGGAAGCCCAACTAGCCCACATGGGGAAGCCACATGGGGAGGCCCCGAGGCCACATGAAGAGGAAGGATGCCTGCCCAGCCCCCAGCTGCCTCAGCTCCAGGCGGTTCCAGCACCATCCACTATGGGACTGCAACTGAATGAAAGTCTAGGAGCCAGAACCGCCCAGCCGAGCCTTTCTCAAACTCTCCACCCAAAGAAACCATGAGAGATAAGAAAGCGGTGATTGCTATTTGAAGTCACTAAGTTTTGGGTCCTTTGTTGCACAGTGATAGACAACCGGAACAAATTGTTTGGGGAGGTTCGTGCATCGAATATTGTGTCCCCCCCCGCCCCCCAAAAAAGATATGTTCGCCTGGAATCTCAGAATACGACCTTTGAGAATAAGCGTCTTTGCAGATGTAATTAAGATAAGGACCTTGAGATGAGACCATCCTGGATTAAGGTGGCTCTACATCCAATGACGAGTATCCTTATGAGAGAGAGAAGACACAGAGACAACAGAGGAAAAGGCCATGTGACGGTGACAGAGGCAGAGATGGAGAGATGTGATCACGAGCCGAGGCATGGACTCTCTGCCAGGGAGTTCAGAGGGAGCATGACCCAGCCGTCACCTTGATTTAGCCTCCCAAACTCAGAGAGAGTAAATTTCTACCAATTTAAGCCACCAAGTTTGTAGCAGCCCCAGGAAACTAAAACGGGGCTGAAGGCAGCTCAGGACCAGTTGCTATCATGACGGTGACTGTATCTTATGGCTCCAGAATCAGATGCAGAACCAACAAACAGAAGTACGTCTCAGGTCTACGGCCACGCCACCCTGAACGAGCCCGATCCCGTCTGATCTCGGAAGCTAAGCAGGGTCGGGCCTGGTTAGTACTTGGATGGGAGACCCCCTAGGAAGACTAGGTGCTGTAGGCGTTTTTTAAAAAAAAAAGTATTCTTCAAGGGAACAAGAGGACAGAAGTTTTTTGATCGGGACTTCTTGGAGGATGAACAATGCCCGTCTGCCATAGCTAGAGCAAGGCCCGGCACAGACAGAAGGACCAGGGCTAGAAGCGGAGGGGAAGGACTAGCCACCAGCTGTCTCTCTGTCCCTTGTAGTTCCTTACGTGAACAGAAAAGTTCACATCAAACAAAAATAAGCAAACACATAAACGACAAAAAATAGGTCGGGGCTTTCAGTTTCTGGATCCTAGATTTCAGGTTACCACCCTCTATTCCTCTTACTTCCACTGTTTTGGAGAGTGTGGCCAAAAATCCTGTGGGGAGTGTGGCCCAAAACCTGGTGTGGAACTCAATCGGCATCCAGCTGGCATAACCGAAATACGACGCTTCACACAAGCATGGACACCTGGTGGACCCGGAACTGCCACATATTTTAGATAACATATGACTTTTAAACTCTAGCCATCAACTCAAATGGAAAACATGGGGTGGGTAAGACATGTCTGCAGGCTGAACTGGGCCTGCGAGCTGTCTGTGACATCGACATTTGTGCCCGTCTCCCTCAGCCTGGCACTACAGATGGCTCCCATGTCTCTCCTCGCACCCTTCGCAGTGGTTCAGCCATGGCTTCTAGAGGTTCCCACCCCGCCTTAGAAAAGGCTTTGCATCTGACTCTCTTCTCCGCCCTCACTGCCCAGAGCTCCCTGTCCTCTTTCGTCTGGACCACCAACCCCGGATCCCACGAGGCGACCCCTTGAGGGGCCAGGTCGGGGCCTCTGCGGCCTTGTCCCCTTGTCACCAGCCTCCACGCCTCCCGTCTCCCTCCACTGGTCCCTTGCAGAAGCCATATTGGGTTACTCATCGCTTTCTGCACCCGAGACTCCACAGCCCCCACGTCTCCCTCCATGCCCTTCCCTCGCTCGGAATCCCTCCCCCTCCCCCCTCTGAATTCCTGTCCACTGCTCCTGGCCCAGCTCGGACCTCACTCTTTTCTCCCCCTCTTCTGGATCCTCCCACCCCCATCCCCAGCTCACACGGAGTCCCTTATCTTTGTTCCATGGCACCTTGTGTACTTCTTTTATAAATGCTATCACCCCGAATCTCAGTGACTAGTTGACATTCATCTCGCTGATTAGATTGTGGGTGTCTGGGGCAGGGGCCATGAGCCAGTTTCCTTCATACCTCGTACCTGGCACGTTGGGAGTACTCGGTAAGGATCTGAGGAGGCGGACCCGACAGATGCAGAAGCCAAGGTGGGAAGGGACGAAGGAACTTGCTGGAGGTCACTCAGCTCATTGAAGGCAGAGCTGGGACCGGAAACTACCTCCTGAAGGCATGTCTTGGGCACGCACGGCCGAGTGGCTGGCTTGGCTGAGGAGCCAGCGGGCGCCAGGAACAAGGGAGGCTGAGCGGTGTGTCCCGGAGGGGCACTAGGACTCTGCCAAGGGACAACTCACAGAGCAATGGTGGCTTCAGAACACTGGGGGACGCTTGGGGCAGCCAGTGAGACCGTTCTGCAGCAGAGTCAGCCTCGGGGCCAGGGCTTGTCCAGGGAGGAATCTGATAGGAACGAATTCTGTGGCCGGAATCCAGAATCTACTGGAAACCATGAGGAAGTGGAAGACAGCGAGCCGCCTGGGCTTGGGGAGACAGCCAAGACATCAAGGACTTACAGTGACTTAAAGAACAGAGCTGCCATCAGCGATGACAATGGCATCGACCGGGCTGGCCATTCTGACCATTGGGCCCCACGACTTCTGCCGGCACTGCATGGGTCCCCAAGTTACTCCAGCCTCTCTGAGTTTCCTCATGAAATGTAGCTTACAGACGGCTGGAGGAGCAAAGGACTCGATACATAAAATACATAACCGTCCCCGGCACATAGTAAATGTTAGTTACTGTTATTCCATGGGTGGGGAAACAGCTCGGGAGAGGCGAAGGGGCGTCTCCAAGGCTACACAGCTAATTACTCCACAGTCGAGCTGACCTAACTGGCTCCGCACGGTGCTCCTGATCTAACGGAATGACGTCACTTCTGTCGCCCCCTTCACATGCACACACAGTGCCCCCCACCCCCAGCCGGGGCCCACGCAGCAGGCCTTACTGGTGGCACCGCGCTGTCGACAGCTGGCTGCGCACACTGTGCCGGGGGCGGTGGCGACAGCCAGTCACCGTGACCCTAGCCCTGGGGAGAGAAGCCCTCAGCCCCTGTAGGATGGGCGTTAAGACAGGCATGAAGGACAGGCTGCAGCAGACCGGGCACGCCCTGAGGGGGCTTTTTGGGATCACATCTCGTCGCCCGAGCGGGTCAAGGACAGGGAACGAGCCAGGCCAGGAGAGCAGAACAACTGTTTTGAAATGTAATACGGCGCTGGCCCGAAAGGGTTGCCAGGAGGAAATCTCTACTGCAGGGGCTCCTTTTGTTCAAGCGGATCAGCATGACCTTGGACAAGCAGAGGCCCAGGGCCCACTCCCCTCTCTCCGCTCCGAGTCTGTGGCTCTGGCCCCACATTTGGAAGCAGCAGTGAGCGGGGAATGGTCACACTGAGTCAGGCGATGGAAAAAAAGCACAAGTAAGAAAAGGCGGTAGCATTTGAATTTTACCTGTGAATGAGCAATATCACCTATGAAAATTGGATGCAAAGAACCCGCAGGTGTGCTAGTCGCTTTCTCATGATGCCTCGCGCCAAGTGTGTGGCCCTTGTAAAACACCAGGGAAGGTTACTGGGTGTGGTTTTTTCCTAAGCTGTCACTAAAGAGTGGCAGCACATGCCATCCCAAAATATGCCTCTTTAGCATAAGGACGATTTTGAGCTGATTATTTTGAGAAACAGCCTACTCAGGAGAAGCTCTGAAGACAGTCAATTCTTCTTTAGTAAGGGAAATTTACATTTATAAAGGAAACTTCCCGTTTGTAAGGTCTCTCTGTACAAGAATCTTATCTAAGATACACTGACGTATATTTGCATAACAAATCTTACTCTTATTTACCATACTTTCCCCGGTCACCTCCCTAGTACTGGCCTCTCCCACACCTTTCTTCCTGTTGTCTTTAGCCGAAGGTGGTATTTAGGTCTGAATTCTAAGCCACCTCTTGGAATTACTCATTTTCCCCTGGGTTTCTTGTGTATACACGGGGTATACATGTTAACAAACACGTTTTCCTCTTATTAATATGTCTTTTGTTACAGACCCCACCAGAAAAGTTAGAAGGGTAGAGGAAAAATTATCCCTCTGCCCTCCATCCATTTGACCTAGGCCTCGTTCCAGTATCCGAGGCCCGCACACCACGAGCTTTTCCTCTAGCAGTCTAGAAAGAGGAGTTTGGGAAATAATTCAGCGGCTTCCTCT